TTTTTTCTGTGTGTGATTTTTTTCGCATTTTTTTGCAGATCAAGAGTTGTTGGTTTTTTCTGTTTTTCTCCTGATCTGAAGACAGCAAAGTTGTATTTGTGAGCTCCGTGATTCGAATTTTCGAGCAACTAAGGCAACGGTAGGTCCGCAGTGGTTTTGTTCCTTGTGATGTTCATGTTGGATAAAGAAACCTGCATCTAATCAATGGCTCAGTCATTACAAAGTTAGCATTTTTTATTTTTTATTTTTTTTTCTCAAGACTGTAAGGTTATGGGTTGACATCTTGATTGTTGAAACTTGTACTGTATATGTTTGTTTCTTGTTAGTAATTTCCATGCTGCCGGTTTATCGTAAATGGCAATGTATTATTTCCGGAGGTTGGATGAATAGGATTTGGAGTCCGACTAAATGACACATTTTTTCTGATTCTGTCTTGACAAGAAAATGGATTTCAGATCACTAATATACCGTGTACCAACTGAGATCGATAAGTCGATAACTTCTAACTTCCAAGCTTTAAAACCATCCTTATTGCAGCCTGTCCATTTTTTTGAGAAAAATGGCCAAGGAGTATAGTGGTGGGTCGCCCAAGCTTCACCAGCTCAACACGAAGCGAAATCGCCTCACTTACATCCTCATCGTGAGCGGCCTTTGTGTCCTCTTCTACGTGCTCGGTTCCTGGCAAGGCCGCTCCCCAATCCCAACCACCCAAACCGACTTCTCCTCCAAAGTCAACTGCGAAAACGAGGGGGCCAAAACGGACATTTCGCAATCCTCCTCTTCTTCCTCCACGACCCCCGACCAGCTGGACTTCGAGAGCCACCACCAGCTGGCGGTCAACAGCTCCGAGTCAACCGAGCTCTTCCCGCCTTGCGAGGTTAAGTACACCGAGTACACGCCGTGCGAAGACCAGCAGCGCGGCCGGAAGTTCGACCGGAACATGCTCAAATACAGGGAAAGGCACTGCCCGACAAAAGACGAGCTGCTGAGGTGTCTCGTCCCGGCCCCACCGAACTACAAGAGCCCCTTTAAGTGGCCGCAGAGCAGGGACTACGCGTGGTATTCCAACATACCCCACAAGGAGCTGAGTATAGAAAAAGCCGTTCAGAACTGGATTCAGGTCGAGGGGGATCGGTTCAGATTCCCGGGAGGGGGCACGATGTTCCCGCGTGGAGCTGATGCGTATATTGACGATATTAGTGCTCTTATTCCGCTTACGGACGGGAGCATTCGAACCGCGGTCGATACTGGTTGTGGGGTGAGTAAAAAAAGATAGAATCTTCATCATGTAAAATGAAAAAATCTTGCCATTCGAGTTTTATGGTAGTGATTTTGTTTTTTTTTTTTTTGTTTTTTTTTTTTTGAAATGTATTTTAGGTTGCTAGTTGGGGTGCTTACCTACTGAAGAGGGATATAATAGCAATGTCATTTGCACCGAGAGACACGCACGAGGCACAGGTTTGGTTTGCGCTTGAAAGAGGTGTCCCTGCAATGATTGGCATTATGGGTTCGCGTAGGCTTCCGTATCCTGCTCGAGCCTTCGACATGGCTCATTGCTCTCGTTGCTTGATCCCTTGGTTCGACCATGGTAAAAAGAAAAAAAAAGTTAATCTTGTGATGAAATTTTATTTGGTTGATCAAATGATCTATACCGACACATTTCTTTTGTGATTGCTTGCAGGTGGGTTGTATCTTGCTGAAGTGGACAGGATCTTGAGGCCCGGCGGGTACTGGATACTCTCGGGTCCTCCAATCCGCTGGGCGAAATACTGGCAAGGTTGGGAGAGAACAAAAGAAGACTTGAAGCAGGAGCAAGATTCTATTGAAGAGGTTGCTAAACGCCTCTGCTGGAAAAAAGTTGTGGAGAAGGGAGATCTTGCCATCTGGCAGAAACCCATTAATCACGTCGAGTGTCTCGACACCAAAACGTCGTATCCCGAGCCGCCCATCTGCAAATCAGACAATGCCGATGCAGCTTGGTAAATTTTTCTGAATCTTTTTTTTTTTTTTAAATACCTTTGCAATCCTTTTCAAGAGTCGACAAAGTTGCAACATTAGTCCTGTACGTGTGGCCAGTTGCGTTTGAGTCCTCTAATTTACTCATTTTTTTGGTTTCTCCATAAATGGCTTCTGCATCTTCCAGAAATCGAAAAATGACAATCATCTTTTCACAAAAAAGTAGCTATTTTTCATCTTTTTCACCCACAAATGGCTTAAAACTGACATCAAACTCAATATTGCTGCCTAATATATCACATGCTTACCAAAAAAATATGAATTCTTTGTTTCTGGTTGGTACCCAAAAAAGGTACAAGGACCTAGAAAACTGCATCACCCCACTGCCGGAGGTGAACCACGCCAGTGATGTGGCAGGAGGCCCGCTCAAGAAATGGCCCGAACGGGCCTTTTCGGTCCCACCAAGAATCAGCAATGGCTTGGTCCCCGGAGTCACGGCCAAGCAGTTCCATGAAGACAACGAGCTGTGGAAAGAGCGTGTCTCTTACTACAAGAACCTCGTCAGCCAGCTGCCACGCGGGATGTACCGTAACGTGATGGACATGAACTCCAACCTCGGAGGATTTGCGGCGGCTGTCATGAAGTACCCTGTCTGGGTCATGAACGTGGTCCCTGCTGGCACGCCTCCCGAAACTTTGGGTGTCATATACGAGCGGGGTTTTATAGGGACGTATATGGACTTGTGTGAGGCCTTCTCGACTTATCCTCGGACATACGACCTGATCCATGCTGGCGGGGTTTTCAGTCTGTACCAGGACAGGTAAATAAATCGATGCTTTTTCGGATAAATAGTATTTGTAAGAAAAAAAAAAAATGCAAAGGTTGGAACTTTTTGTCTTTGTGTTTATAAAAATGTCAACTTCTATCTATTACGACCAAGAAAACGACCGAAACCGACAGAATAGAGTTGTGACATCACGACTGCTTGTTTTTTTGAAGGTGTGACATCACGTACATTCTGCTCGAGATGGATAGAATCCTTCGGCCGGAAGGGACGGTGATTTTCCGGGACGAGGTGGAAGTTTTGGTGAAGGTTAAGAGCATTACAGATGGGATGAGATGGGAGAGCAAGATAGTTGATCATGAAAGTGGGCCATTTAATACAGAGAAAATTCTTGTTGCCACAAAGACTTACTGGACTTCTGAATCCAACCAGGGGCAGAAGTAACATTTTTTACTTTTTTTTTTTCTTTTTTTTTTACCTCCCCTTTTTGGAGCTGCATTTTAGTTATGTGTTGGTCTTTTTATTTCATATTTGCAGGAGAAAGTTTCTGGCAATTTGATTATTTTGCAGAATGATATATGTTCATTTCAATTTTGTTTTGGTAATAGCTCTGTGTTATATGTAAAGTACACTTTCTGTGTGCAAATAACCAAGTGAAATTTATTTCCTCTCTTTTGATAGGCATTTTACAAGTAATGTGCTCATATGTTGTATGTATTATATGTAAGTTGAAAGTTTCTTGTGTGAGACAGTCTAATTGTTAGGCGGGTCGACTCGTCATACTTTATGAACAAAAATGAATACGTATAACTTAATACTATCATGTGGTATAACCATTAGGCGATATACTATTTTTACTATGTGTATACTTTCATCACAAACTATCATACTTTACGAGACAAAGTATAACATTTGATAGTATAAATATACATTTTAGCTCACAAAAGTATGACGGGTTACCTAATGGTTAGGTTGTCTAACTCAAGATTTTTTGCTGTAAACATCTACCAAAAGTTTTGTATCTCATGATGCATCCTACATGATTTTGTCCGGCGTCTTTGGTTTTTTACTATCGAATTTACAATACTTTTATTCTACAAATTTTTTGTGTGGGACAACTTAATTATTAGGTAGGTCAACCAATCATACTTTTAAATAAGAATGCATATTCTACAAAATCTTGAGTGGGACAATTTTAAATATTAGGTGGGTCGACCAGTCATATTTTTGAATAAAAACACATACTTACACAATAGAATGTCATACTTCTATCATGTTGTTTCTTAAAGTATGACATTTTATAATAGAAGTGTGATTTTATGTAAGTATGTCGGCCTAATTGTTAGACATAACTGACACAAGACCTACCGATTGATAGTCACCGGTGTATACAGTCTCTAGGGCTGTAAATTAAACATGGATCGTCGCGTATTGATCGGATATCAACTCTAGAAAATATTCGATCGGGGTCATGTGGTAAGCTAAACAAGCCGAGCTATAGATTGAAATCAGACTCGAAACTGTAAACAAGCAAAGCTTGAGCATGACTGCTTCTGCTTTGAAAACTCGCAAACATGCTCGTTGAAAGCAAGAACAAATAACACGATACCATAATTGGGATTTTGTACAATACTAAAATGTAATTTTAGTAGCAAAAAACTAAAATACGCGAAAACTATCATTAAAAAAAGTTAAGATTTGTTCCCTGTTTTGTGTTTCTAGTGAAAATCTATGTAATATCAATGTGTTCTAGTAAAGAGATGCATCAGAAAATATAAAGCAAGTTCAGTCCATAATGAGATGATCAATGGAGGACTGCAAACACAGTATAAATTCTGAGAAAAAAAAAGGGCCAAATCCAACTTGAAATCCGATACACCATTAGACACTGTTTAAAGCTTGCTCGAGCTTTAAATTCATCGTATGAATATGCATAAATTCGTCCTCTAAGAAACAGAACACAGAGGCTGCATGTAAGGTTTTTTTTTTCTTTTTTTTTTTTTTT